AAATGCTTAATAAATACATACATGCAATTTACGCAGTACTATGAAAATAGCTTTGACCTCATGGATTCCCTGGAAGGACCCCCTCGGCCTGCACTTGAGAGCCAGTGCTCTTGGGGTGGTCCCTTATTAGTCCTTGTGGTATTTTAACTGAATGCCTAGGCTGTGGAGGCCCTCTGTTCTGGACAGAACCTTTGAACCATCTGGCTACTTGACCTCTGGTACTTCAGTTCTGTTCTCCACCTGATTGAGCAGCCTCACCCAGTGCATTCACTGTCCAGTCAAGGGCTTGTGAGTGGGGTCCCCCTCTTCTTTGGTGTCCTGCAGATTTCAGTCTTTCCTCTGCCCCTAACTCCCATGCCTCAGCTCAGCAGGACCATTGTGCTTACTTCAACCCCAGCTTCAGAGAGGAAACTGTCACAGGTGGAGTTGGGCTGATGGTGGTGTGACAATTGTCTACCAAGTTTCCCTTCTCTTGAGGTTTGAGTGCTTGTGCTGCCGTTTCTGTTCCTGGAATAGTGGCCTCATACATTTTGTTTTTTTATGATTGTTTACTGTGGAATAACTAGGATAGTACAAGTTATCATTACATATTCAACTTCCTGGATTATTATTAAAAAGTGAGGTTCTTAGCATGGTAAATTTGGATGGGATGAAGCGTGTATGTTTAAATACGGGCAGGCAACTTCATGGCGTCTCTTGGAAGCAGGTGCACACACTGTGCTTAGAGTGGGGCCAGCAAGACTGGAGTGGATGCTCTCCACTCCTGGATTTTTGGCTCTGATGGGGCTTCGGATCTCTATGAATAGAAGTCACTAAGGTAGCATGGCAGTTAAGCCTATTTGTCAGCAGTTGGCAATAGTATCACAAGAGGACTTAAGGGAGGAAAAGCTGGAAAGGTGGGTCAGGCCTAAAGGAAAGCTGACTGTTTCTGTAGTCCCCTTAATCATTTTTCATTTGGAAAGTTGAAATTCCCAGCTAGTGTCTGTGGTTACTCTTGAAATCTGTGGTATATGTAAAATGCAAGCTTGACCTTAGCATCCTCCCAGGTCAGTGAGTCACCTCATCCATGGTTTGCCAATGCCTTAAGAAGTCAAGTTCAAGCTCTTGAGTACATTTGTGAGGTTTTGTTTTTGAGAGTCGCTCCCTTCTCTATCCTGATCCCTGTGTTTCATGCTGCAGTAGTAATGGAACCCATGTTCTGGAGTTCCTTTTACACGCTTGTTGTGCCTCCATGTGGTCTCTTTTCCTGGAGTGTTTTGTCCTTCTGATTTCCCCTCTTTTGAGGGTCGACACAGGTGTCTATCTCTCATGAGCTCATAGCTCTCTGAAATATATAAACTAGGGAGAACTAGAGTTTTATTAAAATGGTTACTAATAGCAGTAACATCGGTGGTACATACGGAGGCTTTATACATCAGCATGTCAGACTACATAGGGAAATGCCGCTACCCAGTTCTCAAGTTCACTGGAATCCCTACTCAGTTTCTCTGCCCAATTATCCTTCAAGTCATTGTTTCCTCCTAGCTCTTTTAGATAAAAGCTGTTACATAATCATTAGTATTGTGAATCAATATTTCAGAATGCATAAGCCTCTGATAAAAGTAATACTTTATCAGAAAGTAAAAAATCTTCCTTCATTTACCTTTTCTTAAAAGAAAGATCTTTCCTAATAAAAAAAATGCATAAAACATAGATGGGTCAGTTAGAGGTTTAAATGTTACACGTTAATTATAGCTAGGAATTCTCCGAATGAATGTAAGCATATGACCAAGTTCAGGATTTAAGAGGCTTCTAGAAGGAAGTACTATGTAAGCCAGCTCTGAAGGAGAGTGTAGAGAGTGAGCCTTGGGTAGCTGTTGGTCTGGAGCCTGTGAGGAAGTCACATGGAAGTGGGAGATGGGTCAGAGTGCCTTAGTGCTAATGTTCCTCCTGCCATTCTGAAAGTTGGAAGCCATGGACCATGATCTATGACATAAACAACGCTAGCTTGAGCATCTGTAGGGCTTTGCAGTGTTTTCCATGGATTAGAGTAGCTTTCATTGTCACCAACCTGTGAGGTGGGTCTGGTTTTAGTCCTGATGTAGATGAAGGAACATCAGGAACATAGGTCGAATAACTTGCCCAAGCTCACTTGTCTAGGAAGTGGCAAGGCTGAGCAGCCTAATTTTAGGATCTGTGCTTTAAGTCACTGCTACACTGGCTGTCAGGGGAAATGTTTCATGCTTAAAGGATGTGAGATTGTTGATGGTACAACTTACAACTGCACAGTTACAACAGAAGGGTAATTTCTTGTTACAGTTTCTCCAAATAGGATACCCATGCTAATTTGCTGGAATGCACACCTTACTATGATAACTTTATTCTGATGTATATTGGTGTCACGCTTCTTTTAGGGCATTCTTTTCTGTCTGGAGACCTACAGTGCCTGTTCTCTGCCTTCACCTCTCACCACCAAGTCCTTCCAGCTTTTCCTTCCCAAATACCATTCAACTCTCTCTTCTTCCGTCCCTCATTCTTGCCACCACTGATTCCATGTGTAATCTCTTGCTGGGACAGTTGAGATAGCCTTGCGATTGCTCTCCTTTGCCCTTCTGTTTTGTTACCTGTGTTTATTCACATTGTAAAAAGAGTGTTAGAATTTTCAGAGGATTTAGGGTCTTGCAAACTATTTCTCTGAACCATGGTCCTCCTAATCTCTGCCTCCTGAGAGTAGCTAGGATTTACAGGCTTGAACCACAAGGTACCTGGCTTGTTTTTATTTTTCAATTCAAGAATTTTTGTTAGATTTTTTTTTTTTTTTTTGGCAGTTTGTGTCACTATTGATGTTCTCTGTTTGGTCAGTCATTATGACCATCCTTCCCTTTAACTGTTAAAACTCTTTCCTTCAGTTCTTTGATATTTACAGTAGTGACTTGACTTTGAAGTCTTTGTCTACTATGCCCATATTTGGGTCATACTTTCTGTTTCTTTGGATGTTTCGGAAAATTCTGCTGTAAATTGGGGGATTGATTTTTTGTTTGTTTTGAGATAGGATTTTGCTGTGTAGTCCTGGCTGGCCTCGAACCCACAATCCTCCCACCTCCATTTCCCAAGTATTGGTATTGGAGGCATATGTCTGCATACCTGGTGAAAACTGGAAGTTTTAAGTAATGGTCACAGCAAATGTGGAGTCTGGCCTCTCCCTAAGCTCTTTGCTGTTGTTATTTTGCTGTTTGTTTGGCTCCTTGCTTGGACTAACTACTCTCTTCTGTGTCTCCCTGTCGCAGTGCTGCCTCTGAAGTCACTACTTAACTCTTTTACTTCTTTTAAAATACTTTTATGCCTAATTTTTTAGCAATTGCCTCTGCACCAGGGTGTCTTAGTGGTCAGCAAGTGATTGAGATCGTTCTTGAAGACCGTAGCCAGCAAATGTTTCCCATTTTTCCTTTGGGTCTGTGTGTGTGTTAGAGAAGGTTTGAAAGCTTGCAGTTTGAAGTGTCTGCTATCAGCCAGAGCATGCTTAGCTCGACAGTGTCTCTTGAGGAGAGCATCCTGCACATGCACACCAAGGGGGAGGCTGCTCAACAAGGCTGTCTGACTGTCTCTCTTCTAGACCTTTCCTAAGGAATTTCTGGCCGCTCTGCATTCTGTTGCCTGCTGCAACCAGCATCACTGAGATAGATAGTAGCCTATGCTCTTGGTTGATTTTTTTCTTTTGGCAGTACTGGGGTTTGAACTCAGGGCTTCACACTTGCTAGGCAGGCGCTCTAACACTTGAGCCACAGCTCCAGCCCTTTAATGTGCTTTTAATTGAAGTAGAACACACTAAGAGTTTTCCCTGACCTACCAAGGAAAAAATTTTTTTCTTTTGTAATGAGACTATTAGAATTTTCATGTTTTATTTTGAAAAATTTCAAACATATCAACAAAAGCAAAAGTAGTGCAGTGAACTCATATCCTAACCACGGTACAAGTCCCAAAATTAGGAATGTTCACATTCAGACAGTGCTACTACTTGATTTGCTGCTCCGTCAACTGTTCTTTTCCCCCAGTGTCTTTCTGGAATTTTCTTCTACCTCATCAGGTTTCTTTCTTCTTTTCTAGTTTGGATCGATTCCTCAGCCTTTCTTTGACTTTCATGACATTGGTATGTCAGAGGCCACTAGTTTTCTAGAATATCCCTCATTTTGAGCCAGTCTGTCTCTCATGTTCGGGTGAGGTGTTTTTGGCAGGAACAGCACAGGAGAGACATGCATCGCGTTAAGGGGTTTTATTGTGTTAGGTTAGCCTTTTATTATTTTATTTACTTATGTTTCTGGCGGTACTGGGGTTTGAACTCCGCCTTGAGCTTGCTAGGCAGACACTCTACTACTTGAATAAACCCCTACCACTCCCCTTTGGCCTTTTTGTTTTGTTTTAGTTATTTTTCAGGTAGGTCCTTGCACTTTTTGCCCAGGCTGGCCTTGGGCAGTGGTCCCCCTACTTATGCCTCCCAAATAGCTGGCATGATGGATACGCACTGCCACATTCAGCTTATTGGTTGAGATGTGGTCTTGCTAACTTTTCCCTGGGCTGGACTCACTGTGATCCTCCCAATCCATGCCTCCTCGGTAGTTGGGATTACAGGTTATGAGCCACTTTACCCAGCCTCGTTTAGCCTCTTACCGATGATGTTAACCGATAACTTGTTCACGATAGTGTGCACCAGGTTTATTTTTTTCTAAAGTTATCATTTTCTTCTTTGTTGTTAATAACTGATCTGTGGGGTGGAGATTTATTGAGTGTGAATATTCTTTTTTCTAATAAACTTTGATCCAGTGGTTTTTTCCATCCTTGATAATGCTTGTCTGAATCATGTATATTGCCATGATAGTTGGCAAATAGAAGATACTAAAATTTCAAAAACAAATTTCTAGGGGTTTCAGGTTTAATGTTCCAAGAACACTATCTAATTGTGATCATTACAAAATATTTTTTGATCTGTTTATGGCATAGCTTTAATTTTTTTAAATGATTTTTAGGTTCATGTACTGGACAGACTGGGGAGAAGTGCCAAAGATAGAACGCGCTGGAATGGATGGTTCAAGTCGCTTCGTTATAATAAACACTGAAATTTACTGGCCAAATGGACTGACTTTGGATTACGAGGAACAGAAGCTTTATTGGGCAGATGCAAAACTGAATTTCATCCATAAATCAAACCTGGATGGCACAAATAGGTAAGATTGTCCTTGACTTGATATGTTAATCAAACTATAAGGCCCAGTTTTCTTAAGAAGAAATTAGTAAATTTTAAATAAGTGTGGAAAGGGGAGGAGAAGAGGAGACTTAGTTTGGTCTTTTAAAAGTAACTAAGTTTCTCATTCATCATGGTAGTGTTTATAATAGTATCTTCTCCTTTGTTGTTCTGAGCTAACTTAGTTCTTTAGTGGTTTCCAACCAGGAAGACTACCTTCTCTTTTTCCCAGACTGGTTGGAAATGTGAGGGCAGTTCTGGTTAGTCAGGACTAGGAGTGCTACTAGCATGTTAATTCTTGGAGTCCAAGTACGCTAAAATCCTGTAGTGTACTGGACATTCAACACGAGTTCCCACCCAAAATGACCGACGGAGTCCCCAGGTATGGCTTTGAAGCCTGCTTGGTAAACCTCTGTACTAGAACAGGGTGTTGCAGTTGGTTTTCTTTTGTGATAGCAGAATACCTAAGATGGAATAACTTATAAAAGAAAGAAATTTGTTTTGGCTCATGGTTCTGAAGGCTGAGAAGGTCAAGATTAGATGGCTGTATCAGGTGAGGACTTTATTGCTGCATCATAATGTGGAAGGAAGAGCAGGTGAGGCAGAAGTGGGCCTCAGAGAGAAGGGGACAAGGAGCCAGATGCTTCTACAATAACTAATCCATTCTCCTGGGAATTGTGTTAATCCCTTCATGAAGAATGGAAGCCGCACACCTCCTACAACCTAACCCTCTCGATGCTGGGGCATGAGCTTGGGTGAGGACAAACCACATCCAATCCACAGTGCAGCGATTGGCCAACTTTTGATTTTTTTTTTAATGAATGTTCATGATATTTTAGATCTTGTGGGGCTTATAATTTCTGCTTCAGCTACTTAACCTCTGCTACCTCTTGTAGTTTGAGAGCAGCTGAGATAGGTAACACAGAATGAGGATGGCTGCGTTTCATAAAACTTTATAGATGGACATGCAGTAGCGCTGTCAGTGAGCTTGGGCTGAGGTGCTGAGCCTGGCCAAGGAGAATGCCTCGACTTGTCTCGTCCATCCCAGCACTAAGGAAGGCAGAGTCTGCTGCAGACACATGGAGCTTCCTCTAGAGCACATTAGGTTCACAGAGACAGTTTACAGTCACAGTCTTGTGCTTGGTTATGTGGGTTTTGGTGGACTTATCCCAAGATCCCATCAGATTAGAGTCTTAGGTAGTTGAAGGATTTTTCTAAGTGTAAACATTTGTAAGTTCTCTGAATTATGAAACATTTAAAGAATTTAATAAAGCAGACCTCTTACTGAGATATTGTGCCTTGTTTTAAAAAAGCTAGCTTAAGAATAATTTTAAGAAAGTGTTTTAAGATGTACATGTATGCTGCATGTATAACATGATTGATGTGTTTCAACTTCCAATCTGGCTTTGGGAGGGATTCTAGGAATTTGGATATTGCTATGTCATAGATTTTTAACTAAAACTGACAGGAACTCAATAACAAATCTAAAACCAGATGACAAAAATTTGCCCATAAAACTTAAGCTCAGACATTCAAAATCAAAGAGCAGACTGGGGCGGCCCGTCCTGCATAGGATCATGGCCATGTGGAAGTCAGCCGCAGTGCTGATGGAGGGCTCAGGACTCGGAAGCAGGAGCACCAGAGGAACCTTTGCTGCGTATGTGTGCGTGGTGAGCATGGCAGCCAAGTGTGGGAGGGTGAATGGTTGTCCACTCCAGCATCCAGCTAGCGTAGTGTGTCATGGTAAGGACAGAAGAAGCTGGAGCAGTCTAACCTCAATGAAGCTGCAGATGGTCACGCTGGAGTTCCTGTCCAGGACAGAGCACCAACTGAGCAGAAGACAAAATTGTGTAGGATGGCACATTCAGAATTGCGTGGAGCAGGGACAGTGGAATAGGGAGAAACAGAGGAAGGAGAAAGGTGTTTCATAGACAGATGAAGAGGGGAACAGCTAGGAGTTCCCAAAAACCAACTTGTTATATTTTTGGACATTACATGGAAACCCCAGAAGAATGGGTGCTGTGAAGTCAGGAAGGTACCTTAGATACACCACTTTCTTCTAAAAGCTCAGAAAAACTAATTTCACATAGAACTGAGGTATTAAGATGAAATCCTACTTAAGATTATTGGAAAGAAAAAAAGAATGAGAAGCAGAATCCTTACATACAAAGCACCCCCCAAAAACATGAAGAGATTAGACCTCTGCTTTAACATGTACCAGAAGTGAAAGGAAAATATAAACAGAAAAGTCCCAAAATGAGATGATAAAGCTCAGGAAAGAGTTATAAATAGAAGTCTTTACAGGAAGAAAGAAAACAGCAACAACAACAAAACTAGCAGGGACACAAGAATTGAATAAACAGAAAAGGCCTTTTTAACACAAGTAGATGGAAAGGAAAAAGTAAATCTGCAGAAACTGTCCCTGAAAGAGACCTTCCAGATCCTTCCAGATGCTCGGAGAACTAAAGGAAGACCACTTGCAGACAGAAGGAAGTTGTCAGCGGAGACAAGCAGCCTTCAAGGCTCCTTAGGCTTGGCTTTAACTAGGTCTGTTCATTTTTCTTGTGACTCAGCTCTTCCTTCTGTCCTGCTGAGTACTCTCATTCAGGGGTAGGAACCAGTTACTCTAAATCTCATTGGGTAGTCATTTTCTGTCAGACCTTACCTGTTTTAAAAACAGAAAACAGTTTTTCCATTCCTTGGTAATTGAGAATTGCTTGTATTTGTATATGTTTACACACATACATAATAAAAGGACTAGAAAAATAGACCTTGTATTTGCCTGTTTCCAAATTTTTATAGTGAGAATACACGTATTCCTTTTGTAATCAGAAAAATAGTAACTTTGGGAAAAAGAACCCCTATCAGGATTTGCTAATAGTTTTAGGCCCCCTTGTGCCTCTGTCTTGCTTCTCAGGCAGATTCTTACTCATTTCACTCCTGTCTGCCCTGTTTATAATCCTGTGAACACAGTATAGCTTGGCCTGCCCACATATGAGGCATGGTTAGACATTTAAGATACTATTCAAGCGTTCTATTTTAATATTGGTTGAAGTGAATACAGTCAAAATAATAATTTAAATTTATATATAATCATTTTATTTTTGTGGTGCTAGAGATCAAAACCAGGGCCTCGCTGTTTTTATAGCAAAAAGATACAACTTCAGATTAATTTTTCATTCTTAGTACATAGAAGGGCACTGTTTTGTTGTTGCTTAAGTGTCTTTTGTCCTATAATCTTGTTGAATTTGTTAGGTGTGGGAAACTAACATTTTCTTTTCAGGGCTCAAAGTGGTATGGTAGAGCACCTGCCCAGCAAGCATGAAGCCCTGAATTCAAACCCCAGTACCACCAAAAGAAATGTTTTGTATGTGTATTTTATATACAGAATCACGTCTTCTGGGAATAATGGCAGCTTTACTTCTCCCTTTTTTGAATCTGGACGCTCCTTTTCTTGCTTGATTGCATTGGTGGGATCCTCTGATACAATGTGAATAGAAGACGTCATTCCTTGTTCCCAGTCTTTGGGGGAAAGTATTCTTTTTGTCAAATTCAGATGCTATTAGCTGTATATTGTTTTGGTAAAGGACTTCCATCAGGTTGAGGAAGTTCCCTTCTGTTTTGGGTATGTGGGTGTGTATAGCCTGGATGGTTATTAGATTTTTGTCTAGTATTGTTTTTTGCACCCATGGAAATGATTGTTTGGTTTTAGTCTTTATTTTATAAACATGGTAAATTGCACTAATTGGTATTCAGTTGTTAAACCAAGATTGTATTTCTAGGATAAATTCCACTTGGTCATACTTTATGATTCTTTTTAGATGTTGTCAGATTCGGTTTGCTAATGTTCTGTCGAGGATTTTTATGTTTATTTATTCATGAGCTATACTGATTTGTGCTTATTTTTCTTGTGGTATCTTGTGGCTTTTGTTATTAATGTAGTACTGACTCTTAAGAGTGAGTGAGAGGTGTTTCTTCTTTCTCTGCTTTTTGGAAGTATGTGTCATCAAGTGACACTATTTCTTTTATAAGTATTCAGTCAAATTCACAAGTGAAGCCATCTAGGCCTGGATATTTCTTCTTGGGATGATTTGAAATTATTGACTCAATTTCTTTGTTAAAGATCTACTTAGATTTTCTGTTCTTAAATCATTTTTGGTCATATATTTCTTTTTTAAAATGTTTATTTTACTTTTGAGTTATCATACATTAACATTAACATGTTATCATACATACATTTCATTGTGATAAGGTAACTTGCTTCCATTTCATTTAAATTGTTTAATTTGCTAGCATAAAGTTGTTCATGGTATCTCTTTATAATCCTTCGTTTCTGTAAGGTTGATGATTCTCATTCATTTGTGACTTTATTCATTTTTCACAATTTGCTTTTTACCTTTTTTTGGGGGGGGGTCTGTGTAGGTAAGGGGTCATCAATGTTGATTTTTCCAAAGAACCAATTTTTTATTTCATTGATTTTTTTTTCTGTTGTTTTTCTGTATTGTCTTGATCTCTACCCTGATACTGTTATTTTCTTCTGTGCTTCCTTTCAATTTAATTTATGCTTCTTTTTCCTAGTTTCTAATGCAGGTTGAAAGGAGATTGATTTGCCTTCTAGTACAGCCATTTGTATTTTATAAATTTACCCTGATTACTACTTTGGCAGCAGTTCATAAGCTTTTAATGTTTTATATTTTTTCTTTTAGCTCAATATTTTCTTTTCTAATTTTATTTTTTATTTATTTGCTTGCTTGCTTATTTATTTATTTATTTATGCGGCAGTGGGGCTTGAACTCAGGGCCTACACTCCACTAGTCCAATTTTTTGTGATAGGGTTTTTCAAGACAGGTTCTCGAGAACTATTTGCCTGGGCTGGTTTTGAACCGTGATCCTCCTGAGTAGGTAGGATTGCAGGCGTGAGCCACTGGTGCCTGGCTAATTTTTTTTCTTGTGGTTTCTTCTTTGTCCTCTTAATTTGTTTAC